TTTTAAAAGACACAAACTTCAAGTGTAAGTTTAAAACTTACTTCTAACCCATGTCCTTAACTATCACATTTATTGTTTCACCAACTGAAAACCAAAGGGAAAGTTTGAGCACAAATTACTGTGATTTTGACTAGAAATTTCAGAATGTGACCTTTCCAAGGTGAAGAAGTGAACTGGAGTCTGATGCTGAGCATTTTGAGTCTGCAGAGGAGTTTTTTTCTTGCAAGTAGCCATGAGAGTAGGAAGTTAGAAGGCAGAGGCAGGAGGTCAGACATAAGAGTCAAGGAAGTATGAATGACATCATCATCCCTAAGTACCCTCTCAGAAGATGAATGAGCTCTCTCTTGTATTACAATGCTAAAGAGCATTAGAAGGTGATATGATATCCAGACAACACATAAGATAAATGCCTCAGAGGATGCTGGAACAGCTTCCCCCCCACGCCCTCCATGAGTTCATAAATCCTTTGGTGGTCTCAATAATACAATATGTGGCTGGTGAGTGTTATATATTGTGGTCAGCTTCTTCTTGACAAAATTCATTTTGGTTTAATGAGTACCTTGAACATTATCTAATTTAGTTACTTAAGCTGAACAACTCAGTGTAACTCTAGATAGCCTTTATCTCACCAGACTCACAGCCCTTTTGGGACACAGAGTGGATTTTTTTTTTCAAGAGTTTCTGAATAAAAAGTAAGCAGATGTTACAAGAAGAAATACCCTGTCTCTTTTCAAACTAACAAAAATGTGCTTGTCGTGATAAGTCTTGACACAAAGTGTTTTCATCTTGATAAAACTTGAAATGCAAGTTTCATGTTCTTAATGAAATCCTTCTGAAGGGAATGCAGGCTTCCAACAAAATATGCAGAGGTGCAGGAGTGTTCAAGGTACGTTCAGTCAGAAGTGGATTCAGTTTGAATTTCTGTCTTTGTGCTTCAAAAGCACAGTTACTCCAGTATGATTTATAATATTTTTGTCTACAGTAGTTTGGGGATATGCAAAGCTGCAGTGGAATTTACTGCTCAGCCCCTCTTTTGGGTATGTAGACACCTCTTGGCATCTTCAGCAGGAAGATTTGATCAAAATATTTAATTGTGAGCCTGTTTCAAAAATTAAAAAGTAAAATTCTCTCAGTAGAAAATCAGCTTCAGTTTGGAGTAAAAACGGACTATGAATTTTTGGTGTACAGATTCATGGAGTGCAGAGTTCTGATGTATCATATTTAATTACTAAAATAATTTTTCCTTTTCTCAGTATTTGCTCCTTTGTGATTTTTGGAGAAATAAAATTATTCTCATTTGAAATGCAAAAAAAGAAGAGCCTCACTTAGGTCTAGCTAAATGCTGCTAAGCCCTTGATTCTAAACCAAAAGCTGTCAGACTTTTAGCAGTAATAGAAAAGTGGATCTTCCTTGACAAATGCCCCCATAAATTAGACATTAGCTTTAGTCAAACTCTGTCTCTCTCAGGAAATATTTCCACTTGCATATTCAATTGGAAGGACCTTACATGCTGCCCACTTACTGCTACGAAAATCTAGGCTTTGGAGATGAAGGCAAAAGAAAAATTTCTGTGAGCAAAAGAATATCTGGAATAACAGACCTTGAACTTATACAGAGATTAGGCTTTGGAGATGAAGGCAAAGAAAAATTTCTGTGAGCAAAAGAATATCTGGAATAACAGACCTTGAATTTTATGCAGAGATTTCTTTTTATAGAATGTGAATTTCACTCACTTTTTGCTCTGTCTGTCTGCTGCTCTGTCCACCCTTCTATCTGTTTATCTGTTACCATCTCAGTGGTAACGAGCAGTATCAATTGGATTTTAAAAGACATAGATCTCTTATACTAGCTGTCCTTTTATATAATACCTTTTACAAATTTAATCAATGCATTTTAATATACAATATAGTTTAAGTGCAATATACGATAAATATTCAAGCTTCATCTTAAACATGCTCTAGCCTTTAAATTGTTAAAACTGCAGTGCCCTTTCAATCTACTTACATAATGTCATAAAATATACATTTCAAGGTAAATGAAGTCAGCTACTTCAATTTAGTCCCTCAAACTGGTAGTAAATGAGAGGTTAACACTATGGTGCCAAACCCATTATTGAGTAAATTTAGCACCTTGGACAGCTCTGTAAAATCTTTATTGCTTTCCTGACCTGCTCGTCATGTTCTGTCTATGTGTTCAGTGGCTCTCAGCTCTGATTGAAAGGCAATATATTAGATCCCGAACACAAACATGCTCGGGGGCTGCTTCACTGTGAGCGTAATGACACGGAGGTGAGAACAATTTTCTGGTCACCGCAATCCAAGCACCTTGCAAGGTCTGCTGCTCTAACTCATAGAGGACTTCGGGGGCTCCTTTGTATGTGGAGCAGCTTCTATTGCAATTTAGGCAGAGCTGCAAAAGGTTTAAGATGCATTCAGAAAACAAGAAGTTAATATCTTGAGCCTGTCTTTAGCAGCATTTTGTTGTGTGTTTTTAAAGCTGGTTTGTGTCTATAAAAAGTACCATCAGCTCTGGAATAGAAGATACCACTATTTTACACAGGAGGGTTTTTCTGTAACATCTACTTTGTATGATCTGAAAATGTCATAAACAAGAAATGCTTTTCTTGTGTGAAAATATTGTTAGAAAAAGTATGAAACTCAAATTTACAGACTCTGAAAATGTTGGGAAAAAATATAATCATTGACTAGCTAAGAAAATTGAATGCTGCTTGTCAAGAATGTTTCAATAAACCATCATGACAATTAGTTTTATTTACATGCAGTATGATATGGCATCAAAGAACTTGCAGTGTTTAAGAACTGAAATATATTTGATATGAGGGAGAGCAGCTGTAAGATTCTATGTAATTACCTCATTTTTTAACACGGATTTCAATCTCCTTTTAGATGCACTCTAAGGTTTTTAGCTCAGCATTATATAAATAACTATGATTAGTCAGGTAGAGCAGAAATGACTATTTAAACTTTCTTTTTTTTTAGTAATTTGGCATAATGACAGCTTAGGCTAACAATATACCAAAGCAGTTTGCGGCCTCTGTATCACATTCTAATTTTCCATCAGTGAAATATGTACTGCAAACAGTTTCTACTGAAGTGAAATAAATCCTGATTTGCAAAGTCAAACACCTGTGCAGTAATTTTCTATCTAAAATCATGGACTGAAAAAAGAGAACATTTTTTCAGTAATGTCTCTTCTCTTCTCTAGTTTGTATCTTCAGTATGAGGCAAAAAGGGCACCTCAGTGTTGTGAGGAATGAGGATTGTTTGTACCTGGATGCTGTTTGTGTCTGTCTGTCTGTGATTATACTGCTCATTGCTGTGGTCAAAAAACAAGAATAAACCAACCCAAACCAACAATTGCAGCACAAAACCAACCCCAATCTTTAAAATCAAGCAAACAAATAAAACAAACAAAACCCACCAACAGAAAAAGGCTGTAGCAACTTAACTCCTCAGAATCTGTTTCATGTGTAGTGATTTAAAAATCCATCAATTATGTATTACATCTCACTTCATATGTGGAAAATAATTTAAATGTGTGTTCTGAGACAGGGGTGTGTGCAGCAGAAGGCAAACCTAAATGTTTACTGGGAGAACAAAAATCCTCCATCTCATTTTTGAATTTAGGACATTATATATGTCATAAGTAGTTACTGCAGTATGACAACTATTTTATGTTATATTATAGAGAATTTAAAATTGAAAAAAATGCTAATATGCATCTAAAAGCTTGTCATTTGAAGAGTTGTTCAAGGATTTTTGAAGAGGTTATGGTGACAGCAAAATGAACGCAATTATATCTCTATTTTCTGATCAGAGTCTACAGTATATGAAAATTGAGCATTACTGTTTCTTTTTGGTATAAAATATGGCTATTGTGTAAAATATTTTAAGTTTAAAAGTTGAACTTTGTAGAAAACTGCAAAATGCTTAGAACTGGTGCTATTTTTGTAAGCTGCTTGCAGAAATATGCCACGGTGAATAGCATCATGTTAGAATATTAGAGCAGTACTTAAGGGCTGGGAACTACAAAAATACATTGTTTTACTCAAAGGATGTTCTTGACCAGTTTTGATCAGGCTTTTGGGAATCTGCTTTGAAAGATGCCATGAAATAATAAGGGAAAAAAATTCTTCTGGGTTAATTCTGCAATACATTTTTAGCTTCTCTATCAGGTTTATAATTAGGATGCTGTAAAATATAAGAACACAGGAAATGATATTGTTACTTGAATACCAGTAGAAAATACTCCAAGAGATATTAAATGAAAAGAAGCAAATAAGAAAATGGAGGAAAAAACAATTGCCCAAAATGGAGAAATGAATCTCAGACTGTTTTAAAGTCTGCTGTCCATGCAAGGAATATTTCCAGGAAACACTGCATGGTCCTGGGCTGTTCTCTCACACACTGCTTGTGTTTTCCTCTTGGGCATCATTCCATGCATGTGGATCCTGCCCTGACCCCTGGTACCAGGACACAAAGTAGAGAAGCCAAAGGGTTACATTACAGTAGCACAGCACTGATTGGGTATCTTCTGAATGTGGCCTGCTGGGTAAGGTCACCATTCCTGCAGCATGCAATTAAGAATAAAATAAACACATTGAAGGGATTCATAACATTCTCTGAATGACATTGATTGCAGTAATCTAGTAAATGACCTCGGGATTGTATTCTGCAATAAACCCATGAGTGGTTTATAGTGCAGATGGTAGAGACAATTGAGTGATGTATTTTATTTTGCAGCACCAATGATTCTCACCTTTTGACTTGATTAAGCGTGTGTGTGAATAGGATGAACCAGTGATTTAACACCATTCAGTGGTTGCTGAGAGTTGTTACAATTAAGGTTTACCTGTTGGGAGGAAAAAAGAAAAAAAAAACCCACTACAAAACACGGTGCACCTAATAGAAGAGAATATTTGTTTTCCCCACAAGGAGTTTATTGAACTCAGCAGAATGCTTCTGTTTTTATATTGACAGGAAGTAATACTTAAGAGGGCTGCTGATTTAGTAGAAGCACTCTATGGTATGCCACATAATAACCAGGTAAATGCATTCTACTTCAGCAATTCTATATCACGGCTATTTCTTAGATGTATAGATAGATCAGGGCTAAAGGGAGACAAGAATAAATGTACAGGGTGATGCCATATCTAGAGTGGGGTTTAGTTTGCTTGTTTTCTTTTTTAAAGGGTGTGAATTTAGTGTTTGTAAAAACACCATGGAGGCATCTGCCCACTTTCACCAGATCCTATATAATATGAGAAATGTTGTACATTATGCATTGCCACCAGTAACTTCTCCCTCTTCCCCTAAAGAGAGCTCTAAGGTGGAGCAAGTCCAGGCTCCATCCTGCCAGTTGGTCTTTTTTGTACAAAGTGTGGCCACTGGGACTGAGACTTCCAACTCTCTTACCACAGATGTCAGGATTTAACAGGGAGATCCTGTAAGCATAAGCTCTCTGTCAGCCAGCTGGTTTAGAAAGAAAAGCATCTCCTTTTAGCCTTTGGACAGGGAAATGTTTCATTTGAGTCTGTAAGAAGACGTTTGTCAGAGTCTCTTTGGTAACTCTTCCATGTTTTTTGTCCTTATCCTGCAGGAGATAATCCTGAAAAGAGCTGCAGACATTGCTGAAGCGCTCTACAGCGTCCCCCGCAACCACAACCAGCTCCCCGCCCTCGCCAACACCTCCGTCCACGCGGGAATGATGGGCGTGAATTCCTTCAGCGGCCAGCTCGCTGTCAATGTCTCTGAAGCCTCCCAAGCCACCAACCAGGGTCAGCAGAAGCCTCACCTTCCTCTCCCTGTGGATCTTTTCTGAGAGAAGTCAGGGAGACGGGCAGGGCAGCGGCAGGGGGGGCTCAGGACTGGGAGCAGGGCTGGGCAGCCCATGCCAGGCCCTTGGAATGGCACAGGATGGGGCTGCCCTAACGGGAAAAGCACTTCTGCGTGTCTCTAAATGGCTTTCCATTCTGCCCAGAGTAGCACTTGCATTTGTGTTTAAATCCCACTAATTTTAATCAGCTTCTAGCATGTACTTAATGTTAAGTACTGCTTATATATTTTCCTGAGTATGGATAATCTCTCAGTCTGGGCCTTGTGTAGTACTTCTTTATAACATGAAGTTATCCCTTGAATGTTTATCTATTTAATTTGGGTTTGTTTTGCAAGAGATAGAGTATTGGAACTGTGTTTTTTTCAGTTTGAGACTTCCATAAACTTTACAACTAGCAAAGCATACAAATATTTAAAAATACATTTTCAGAGTTTTTCCAATTTTTAAAATAAAGTGTTTTTCACTTTGTATAAAATCAGTATTGGTTTAAAATAAAAGTTACAAATAAAAAATAGGTGAAGAACATTTTTGTAGAAGCCCTTTGCCTTTTGCCCTCTTCTTTGCTCAGCTCTATATATTATCCAACTTAAAAATACATTTGAAAATTAAATATGTTAGGATGAGGCTCCTTCTAGAAGAGCAGAAACAAAATTTTTTGCATTACAATAAAAAAATACAAAATTATTTTTAGATTTAAATATTTTATGCTGTGTGTTAGGAAGAAAAATTGGCAATTTTTCTTCTAGGAGTAGAGATGCATATTTTGTATTTCTGTGGCTTCTAGAAAAAAATCTTTCCTTGTGAACATTTGGATATGAGTTTCTTAAAATGTCATTTCCGGAATTAGGCAGAGATTCAAATTTTAACTTGCTGTCAAATGTGATGCTCATTTCCCACCAACATAATGGTGAGACCAAGACAAAAAGACAAAGGATATCCCACAAGCTGGAGAAATACACTCCATTTCCTGAAGTGTGCAGTGAGCATCTGAGGTGTGTTAAATGACAGTGACATCAGAAAAGAGTTAACAACAATCAGGTGCTTTTAACATACCTTGAGTGGGTCTGGACTCCTGACTGAAAATGTAGGTCATGTTTACTCCATTTCCTACAAGCAGCCCTTTCAGAGCGAGTGTTCCTCCAACACCCCGAGCTGATCTTTGCTCCAGGGCATCCCTGGCTTGCCCGGGGAGCTCTGCAGGCTCCAGCAGCCACCCGGGCAGGGAGTGCTCCCAGTTTGGGTGCCTGGTGGTGCTGGGGGTCAGTCCTTGCCCTCCCTGGCTGGACTGAGCTCCCCCTTGGTTTGTGCAGGAAGCTGTTGTGGGGCTAACTCCAATTTCTGCCTGTGTTCCCTCCCCACACAAGGTTTCACTCGCAACTCCAGCAGTGTGTCACCTCATGGCTACGTGCCAAGCACCACCCCGCAGCAGACAAACTACAACTCTGTCACAACAAGCATGAATGGCTATGGCAATGCTGGAATGTCAAATTTAGGCGGATCTCCAACCTTCCTGAATGGATCTGCTGCCAATTCTCCCTATGCCAGTGAGTATTTTATGTCTTTTCTCTATTTTGCACATTTTCATTAGAAGGGGGCAGTAGATTTTCTCTGATGCTCAATATTTATTTTCTATTTTGAGCACTTGAAATAGAACTTATTTTTTTCTCTACTTTTCAAGGCACTGATTTTTGATCCATTTTGAAGACCTTAGTGTTGCCAGAAATTCTCCTCTGTGTTTTCATATTACTATTATTAATTATTATTATTATTTTTTTTATTTGGGAGGCTTAAAAGAGCTTACAAAGAGTAATCTCTCATTATTTAGTCTGATAGTTTCTTAACATACCTTACACTCTAAAAAGAAACACTATCCTCAGCTTCTGAGCAAATAATATGTTTATAACCTTTATAAAGATTATGAATTACTACTGGGCCTCAGCTTGATTGTTTATATTCCACTTGCTTTTAAAGTAATATTACTTTGACTTCACTGAGTCAGTAAAATGTGACAAAGCCTCTAAGATTTTGTGTTTTAGTGTCAGTACAGTGAATGCCACAAAAATGTGAGTCATACAAATCATACGTCCCATGGCGTGAAGAGCTTATGGTCTACAGTCCCAGTCATGGAAATATTTATGTGCAGGACTAACTTTCTGCATTTTGATATTAAAGGTTTAGTAAGCTGTTTAAATATAAATACATTTCTATTGGTAAAGTGAAGCTCTTCTGCAGCTGAGCTCAGTAGTCCCTGGTCACATGAGAAATTGAATGAGCAGAACCTGCCCAATTCCTCTGACATTGCTCATGAGGCATAAAGGATTCCACTGACATCTGTAGGAAGCTGACAGCAGAATCAGGATGGAAGGTCTGGACATATAAACAGATTTATAGCATGGACAGGACAAACTGACTGCTGAAGGTACCAAGGTTTACACAGCAAATCTGAAGTTAATGGTGTAACAGCAGCAATGAAATATTTTGATTTGCATCAGAATAAAAAAGGGGATAGGAACTCTGAATAAAATAATTAACTCCAAGGCTTCTTCTCTGCTGCAAATTTAGAACAAATTATTTACCCACATAACTAGTACTTATAACCTGGGAATTGCTAACCAGTGATTATTTTTGTACTCTAATAATAATGTAACATGTAATGTTACAAAGTACCTTACTTATTAAGTTGGATTTACTGTCACAGAATCTGCACACTCTGAATTCATAATATAACATGATTGATGAGACATCTCCTTTTGGAAGCAGATGCCAGTAATGCATTTAAAATACTGTGGCAGTGTATTATTTCATATTTATGAACGGAGCCCTCTTTAGAATAGCACTTCACTTCCTAGCCCTGGATCTCTATTCTATTTATATTTTGGGAGGTTTTCTTGGTTGATCTGTCATTCTGCTAATGTCTAATCCATTGAATCAGAAAATGCTTCAATCATGACCTGAAAATTAAAAGGTGGCATTCTTAATTAAATCAATAAACTAATTGCTGTATAGTAGCAATTCAATTTAGGTGCTTTGATTGCTCTCCCTTAGCAAGTACTTCCAGACACAGAGTGACTTCAGACTAAGATTGTATCTGTCAGACTGTGAAACTTTGAACATTTAATTTCCATTAATTGATTTCCTCAGTGTTAACAAATATGATATCAGATTCTCAAATAAGAACTTAAATAGGGTGATTTTTATCTACATAAATGCAAATAAAATAATAATTCAAAGCCCAGATGATCAGAATTTTACTCTATAATATGTAATTATTCACAGCCCACTTGTGTATCTAAGCAGTTTCTAAACAGGACAAAGGATGGAAATATGGGATGTCACTTTGGGTCCTTTTTTTTGTTGTTGTTGTTGGATAAGAGGAGAAACCAGCAGTGCCTTCTGAATATTAAAGTAGTTAGCTTTATTTTCATGAAAAGAAATTTGTTTGAAAGCTTGATGGTAAATACATGAAAAAAGATATTTGTTGTACTTTATAGGATATCTGTTTTTAAAGACTGAACTTCCCACATAGCACATTTGCATTTTGAACACTCAGTTCAGCCCTAAAAAAATCGACAGCATCCAGGAATGAGAATTCTCTTGTTTGTGCAACCTGTTATTATTGAGTACTAAGGAATGCCTTTCTGGGGGTCTTTCTTCCCTGCAGTTGTGCCATCAAGTCCGACGATGGCCTCCTCCACGAGCCTCCCCTCCAACTGTAGCAGCTCCTCTGGGATTTTCTCCTTCTCACCAGCCAACATGGTCTCAGCGGTGAAACAGAAGAGTGCATTCGCGCCCGTCGTGAGACCCCAAACCTCCCCCCCTCCCACCTGCACCAGCACCAATGGCAATAGCCTGCAAGGTAGGTGGAACCCAGCTGCACAGGAGCTGCCTGCCTCCCAGCTGCCCCAGGGGAGCCGAGGCAATGGGGGATCCCTGGTGGGCTCTGTCCTAAAGTTTCCTCCTGTAGGGAGTAACTGGCCCCATCCCCAGCCCACCTTGTAGCCTGCAGGGGTTTGGCAACACCCAATCTCTAACCCAGCTAACGCTGCTGAATTGAGAGGCTGTGTCTTTTAAAGCACGGACCTACTGTTTTGATAAACACAAGTAATATTTCAGCTTACTAATACCGTCCTTTTTCTTTCTTTCCTCTCTTATTCCCTGTTGTCGTCCTTTATCAGACCAGTCTTTTGTGGACTCTAGCAAGTACTCCACTGCAGGGTCTCTCCAGGGGCTGGCCTTCTCCTGAAGTACGTCACTCAATCTTCCCTTCCTTTTTGTCCTTTGTCATAGTACACTTGTGCAGAAATCCTACTGAGAGCAAATAGAGCGTTACAGAGCTTGGCACAAACCTTCCCTGTCATAAATGGGAGATGCATTACAAACTAACAGCAGCGTTTTCCACTTTAACTCGCACCAAGGCAAACATTACTTTCCACTGATTAATGTACTCCTGTGCCAATTAATTGCAGAAAAGGCACAGGGCCTTTTGGAAAGCCTATTGAACTGTTGGTATCAAGGGGCTGCTCCTTTTCTGCATCCCTTCCCCTGTCATTACAAGTTCTCCAGCATTAGTATCTAAATCCGTTTGAAGGGCTGGTGCAGGCGAGGCAGTGACAGACAAAATCTTGTCAAACTGAGGGTGCTGCAAAGCCCAGCACTGCCCATCTCATTGTTTGGCTGAGTCTGTTTTACAGCACTGTGCCTAAACTTCCCTCGCTGCACATCCCTGTGCTGAGAGAGGCATTTTCATGCTTGCTTAGATCCAGGGGCTTCCTTAAGCAGATGCAGCAGCTGCCTCCAGCTGCCAGAGGTGGGGAGTATTCCACGGTGTGCATTGTGCTTCCTCCAGACCTGAGATCTGTTCCCTTTCCATGAGTCTATGCAAATTGTCCAAAGGGCATCGAGTGGGGAATAAAATCCATTTTTTAAGCCAGGTTCAGAAGGAGGTGTGCAGAGCAGGATGGCTGCACAAACTCCACGTGTTGCTCAGCCTCACAAACACTGGGCTTGAAGACAAAATGCTGATAGCACCATTAGCAGCCAAAAAAAAAATAAATCTGTATGCAAGCAGAATGGAAGGAATTCATTCATAAAAGCTCAGATCTATTGTGCCTGAAGGAAAGCATTGTCCTCACTGCATGTTACACTGGTAAACTGGGAGGAGGAGTCCTTCAAGGTGCACACACACAGAGAAAAACTGTGCAGAAACTGTAAATTTACTCAGAGCTAATAAGCAGATCTTAGGTACCTTCAGTTAGGACTTTGTTAGAAATACAAATTATGTCAGGAATAAGACAAAACGAAATTTTCAGGTAAACTGCAGCATTTAGGAGATTTGGTTTTGAACATTTAAAAGAATTGGCAGTGCTGACATGCTTCAAGTTTTAAAAGAAACAGCTAATAATATTTCCTATCTGAAATAAAAAAAAAAACCCTAAAAAAACCCTTAAAAAAAAAGCTTTTGAGCATGTTAATATTTTTTTTTCCTCTCTTCACCTTGTCCCATCTTGTTGTGGATGAAGATTAAAAACAAGTAACAGGAGAAAGCTTTTCCGGGCACTGTTTCTCCTTTCACAAGACACAGAATTCTCAGATTCCATGTAACCAGTTATGAAAAGCGATTATGGAAGGGGCCAGGAACGTGGGACACAACTGGAGCTGTCTGATTCCTCCTCATTATGTCACCTCCACTTCTGCAATGCCCAGAAACCACACAGATCTGAGTGTGTCCCCGCAATTCAGTTTTCATAATGGGAATGAGACACCAAGAGATGGTTCATTTCTAGGTCATCCCTGAACTTCTTGGGGAGTTAAAGACACAGAGCCTTTGGTCTAGAGCCTCCTGACACCACCTGAGGCTTGTAAAAATCACTCAGAGATGCACTGCCTGTTGTGTCTTAATGCTTAAATAAACAACCATGTATAAGGAGGCTGTCTTATCTCTCTTGGGCTTCTGGATACATCAGAAAGCAATCAAGCTTTCCTTATGTAGCTTAGATATCAGCAGAACTCACTAAAACAGCAGCCAGGCTTATCTGTTGTTCTCTTTGCCATGCAATTTTGTAAAACCCCAAATACATTATTTCTGTAATTTGCTGGCAGCAAATACAAATTAGTATATGATAGAAGAAATAAAGGCCATTGGTGGGAGCTTTTCTCTTCTCTGCCCTCCCTTTTTGAGGTGGTGTGATCTCATACCTACACTGTTTCCCACTGATATCTGTGTTTTCAGGATCAATAACAGAGTACAGCTGAGAGAATTTGCATGACTAGATGTAGCACTTATGGAATAAAAGTGGAGTGATCTAAATGAAGACTTGGAAAGAATGGAAATATCAAAGCTTTTAGGCAGAAAAGATATCATTTGCCTTGTAATTTAATTCAGAATTTCAGAGCTCTTCAAAAACAATGATGCTTTGAAAAAAGGAGCTAAGATCTGCCTCTGTGCCATTTGTTTCCAACAGCAAAAGGCTGATCTGTAACCACAGGGAAATGTCTAAATCATGAAGGGAGAAATTGCAATTATCTCACCTTTTTTGGGCTCCTACCCAGGGTAGACAGCTGTCCTGTTCCAAGAGACAATTCTTATTGGTGAAATTGATTTGCTTCTGATGAATCTTTCAGAATGAGTGTTGGAATAGTATCGTGACAATTTCTGAAGAAAAGATACTTTTTCTAAAGGAAAGCAACACCTTGTCCTATAGAGTCCTCTATGCTTCTCACCTAAGCGTCTTCCAGTAGGACTTACAGCAACTTAACTCACCTTTCTATCCCTTTTATCCTCCCTCTTAACTCCCTGAAGAACCCTCATGTGGGGGGACACAACCAGGGCAGTGATTCCACAGGATGAATTCCAATAATTGAGGTGCTGTTGCTCTGTGCCACCTCTGAGGGTGGCCTGTTGCAAACATGTTGGATGTGTTTTGCATTCTCCCCTTCTCCCCTCATTTTATTTCATTTAATCAGCGCAGTTTACTCGAGCTGTTCTCCCCTTGCTGATTAGACTTGTAATTCTTGCACATATGGTGGTGTTTGTGGAGAAAACATTTCCCTCCTCTCCCCCTCCAACCCCAAATCTGTGAGTCTTTTACTTTGGCTCTGTTCTTATCAAATAATTGCAGCTGTAATTAAAGCACAGTGAATCAGCACCAGTCACAGGGTTGAGTCCTTCCTTAAGAAATTACATGTCCAGATGTCTGGAATGGCAGGCAGCATTTAAATCATGTGCCTGGAAAGTGCTGCCAACCTGAAGGAGAATCTGTTTTCTACCTTTTGGCAAATAGCTGTACAACTGGCATTTTAGAGACACGTTGTTGTTACAGTTCCCATCATAAACTTCCATGACTACCCCCTGTAATGATGTGCCTGCTCACTGTGTGTCACTGGGACACTCAGGATGTCTGATCTGAGACCCTGCAATAGAGAGAGATCGAGCTGGAGGTCAGCTTATGTGCAAAACTGTCCCTGTTGAATTTTCATAAATGTCTGTCTGCTAAGAGAGGTGCTGGTCTCATAGAAAATGAGGTAGGAATCATAATAAAAGAAATGCTGATGATTCAACTTAGCCAGCAAAAGAGAAAACATCCTGAATTAACATTCACCTATGACTCACCTGATGTAGTTGGTGGTGTCTGCTACAAGTGGAATCAGAAAGATGCTGGCCTGCTAACCCAGGAGTCAAGCACATATTTCCATTTCAAAACTGGATTTCAGAGTTTAAGTCCTTTTCTGAGCTCCTGGAAATGCATACCTGAGTCCCAGGGGTGAGCACTGGCCTTTGGGAGGACTGGCACAGGAGAATGACCCTGAGCCACTGAGGGGACACCCTGCAGGGCCATGCCAGGGGGGCTCCAGCTGTTTCCCCTAATTTGGGGCAAATTCCTTTTGCCCCAAATTTGCTTTGCTTTTAAAAGAGTTACAGAATGTGTGGCAATGGCTGGGTCGAGCCAAATCTTCCTCAGCATTTGGGGATTTTGTAACTTAAAGCAGAAAAATATGTTGGGGTCTCATACTGATATTGAAGGACACTTTTTCTCCAAGAAAATCAGTAATTTCAGCAAAGTCACTTGCAATTTGAATCATTTTCCAGTCAAAAGGAAACTTCTCCTGATTCTTGTGTACATAGACGTCTCTTATGAGTGATATATATAAATTTAACTCAAAGTACATCTGACTACATTGCTAGTAAATGTTTAAAGCTCTGAGAATTTTAAAAGTTGCTTAATAATGCAGAAAATTAACTTTTTCCCTCTCTCTCTCCCTTTCTCTTCCCCCTCCCTTTCTTTCCAACAGCTATATCTGGCATGATTGTTCCCCCCATGTGAAAGAATTGCCTTGAAGAATTTTATTAATGAAGAGGTTGAATTCTGCTTCAGAGAGAATCTGATACAAGTCCCAGAGTGGAACTTTTAACTCAGGCCTTTTTAAAAATAAAAAAGAAATAAAGAAGGATCTTACAATAACTGCAGATTTTTAAACAAAACAAAAATCACCATCCTTGCAAATACTGAAATTAACAATCCACAATTGCAAGGTGTTGATTCGAGTTGTCCATCCCAAATACCTGGGAGATATATTTATTGTATGTTGATAAAAAAATCCACTTTTTTGTTGTTGTTGTTGTTGGGGGGTGGGGGCTTGCTTTTATTTCCTTCTGGTTTCTTGTGGGTTTTTTTTAAGGCTTGATTTAACTCAACACCATTTGTCTTTTATAAATCATACAATTACACAAGGGACACTAGAGATGGAACTCCACATTTTTAATTTATGAATTTTTTTTAAGCTGTGTAAAGAAGAATAAAGTGGTGTCATTTACATACAAGCCTGTATGGGACAGAATAGAAGTGCCAGTTAGTTTTTCATAGAAGAATTATGGCCATTTAATTAAGGGTCGGCTCATATATGTTGCTTAACCAGTGGTGACTTGCTGATATGAAGCATTTTTAATGTTCTGATTAAACAGATATCACTCCCTAAAAAGCTGATATTCTTGGATTATGAGGGTGGGGTAAGGTGTGGGATTAACAACCTCTGTCTTTAATATCAGGCTGGAAAATTGTGTAAATACCACAACAGGAAAAGTTCGTCCCAGAACACCAGGTTGGAAGGGGACCTTAAGGTCCAACTTTTCTTGGCAAAAAGCTGGTGGAAGGGGAGGGAAGGGTGGAAATATCAAAAATATTTCCTCTGGCAGTGCAAACCCAGTGCCTGCAGATGCAATGGAAGGGGAGAGCACGGACCCCTCTCTTTTGGGGTGAAATCTCAGCGCCTCCAGACGCTCCCTTCCCTGAGCACAGCCTCACCTGGGCTCTGCCCTGCGGCTTTGGGGCCATCCCTGGGGGGCTCCAGCGTGTTCCCTCTGCCCCGGTCCTGCTGGGGCAGGGTGGGCTCAGCCTCAGGGGGGTTTCACCCTCCCCACCCCAAATCCCTGCTGGCCCAGCTCCCACTGGCGCCGTTCCTGTATCAGTCGACCCTCCCGGTTTGTACCCCGCTCTCTCCAGGACAGGGAACTGCTTCTGAGTTTGGGCTGGGGCTCTCTAATCAAAACCATCGCTTCTGTTTCACCACAAAAGATTTTGCTATCATTATCTGGGAAGTGTTCTTAAAAATTATTAGTCAAAGAGGCAGCAAAGCTCTGAAGATGCATTACCTGATATTTTTTCTTTGCTGTTGTGTTTTGTATGTAGTTATAAATACTGTAGATTTTTTGTGATTTTTTGCCAAAGTTGTTGTTCTATTTATACATTTTAATGTCTTAAGACAGTTTTTCAATATCACAAAAAAAGAAAAAAAAAGAATTTTACTGCATATTTTGCAAAAAGAGCTCACTACCTTTAGCTTGCACATACTTGCAAATTAATTAAAGAAAAAAAAAGCTTTTTGTTTCTGTTTTTTGTTTGTTTGTTTTACGGGGGATTTTGTAAAATATCCATATAAATAATGTATTTATCTTTGGAATTTGTACATTGCTTTTTGTCCCCCACAAGTTTATTTTATTGTGTATGTTTGCTATGTGAAAAGTGCTGATTTGTTTGGTCATTCACCGTTGTATTAGCTGTTTAAATGTGATTTTAATACATTTCATTTATAGGGTTGTTTTTTTTAGTATTGTTTAAAACCATGCTTCCATTTTTTTTTTAATTTCCACCCAAAAGCCATTGTCTATTTTTGTATTATTTGTAAGTTAAGAAGTTTTTTCCAATATATGGCAAAAAGTAGCATATTATTCTTGTAGCATTTAGTTATGTAGATTTAAAAAAAATGTATCCTTTGCTTTTGAGGCTTAACAAAAACTAATGCTGTTTTACTCTATTAATATGCATGGGATTTCTCCTCTTTGGAGTGACGCATTTTTGTGCATTAAATATGGGGAGAAACTTCATAGAACTCAATGAAAATACTTTCTTTCTTAAGTCTGCTTGTATATTTCTCTGTCTTTCACATAAATATAAACCAGCAGATTGGATGCCTTAACAATGCAAATCATATTCATTTCACTTGTACATTGTACTGTGCACCAGAACTGTCAATCATCACTAACATTCTAAGAAAAAAAAAAAAAGGAATTGAAAAGCACAAAAGAACTGTTTTGTTACCTTAAAACAATATAACTTTTTTCTAGTCGAGCAAGAAATCATTTACAACGATGCTGCAACTGTGCATGCTTCCTGTATGAATTTTGCAATGGTTTTCACTAGAATGTCACAGTGTGATCTTTGGGGGGAAGGGAAAGAAAAACAGGATTTTTTTTTTTTTCATGGCGAGAAAATAAAAGAAGAGAAAACTGGAAAAAATGTGAGAGACATCAGTTTATTGCTTCTCTGTATTCCAAGCAATTATTCTAATTCACATAATAAGCAACAGCACGACAATGTAATCAAATTTAAAGCCATATTTTGTCCAGTGACACCGTCGATTACTCTTGTAGAGCTCCACTCAGTCCTAGCAGTTCTGACACCACTTCAGCCACATTTATAGTCTCTACTTCAGTGTCCAAAGAGCCTTTGACAATGTGCTTAATTCCATTCTTTTGCAGCTATTTGTCGTGATCTGATGAATGGGAATTTGTCAAAAATCTCCCCTGCACCACCCTTTGTCTTTTACAAAGTAAAAGATGCAGCTGTTTACAGAATATGGCTTTAAGTGGAAACATTCAGATTTCAGTTTTAACAAGGTGAAGCTTCACAATGACTGGATTGCATAAAGTAATGCCTATTTCCTCACAGTTGTACTAGGATGCAGCTAAAATGAAGTCATCTCTGAAACTACTAACCTTTCACCTTCTTATCTAAATCTTTTTGAATAGACACACACACTGTACAGTTCTATTGTTAGAGAAACTAACTACTGTAGAGATTGTTATAATTTTTTTGCAGAAATTCAAGCTGTAAAAACTTTTCAACTTTCACAATATTTAATTAAAGTTACTTCCTGTCTGTGAATACAGCTCCTAGTTGTGTGTTTATTTTTCTGCCTCTGCTAGTCAGTAGATGAGAAAAAAAAGATTATAGAAGCCAGAGGCTACTGAATTGTCTTTCTGAAATTAAGGAGAGACGGAATTTCATGGAATTACACAGTGAAACGTGGTGAATGCTGGTGCACTGAAATGCCTTTCCCTCTGTCTCTAATGGATTTCAAAGGATCCTCACTCAGAATGCTGAATGTTCATCCTGTTAATCTTATTATTTCCATTGTTTCACAGTATTGTTTGCCTGTAGGACCAACATATTTTTTCTAGCGGATTTCAGGGGCATATTTAGCTTTAGGTGCTCAGTTGCAAGAGCTGTCTCTAAACACAGTGATCATGCAGCACCAGGCACATCCTACCCTGTGCCAGAGACCCAGGGAGTTGGGAGTTTTTATCTGGGTATTATTTCAGTCACTGCAGCATGTCCAGTGACTGCTCAAGGCCAGCTCCAGGAAATGCCTCTGCCTGTGCTGAGCTCCTTGACCATGAAGGAGGCTCCTACAAAGGGTTTCCATTCTTCTGCCCTTCCTAAATGACAAATCCATCAGCTGCTAGATTGGTTCCAGGCATTCTGTTTCACTCTGTTCCCCTCTGAGAGGAGGAACTTTACCTCTGGCATACGAAGGGCTGACGCTGGCATTTAATTTCTCTGTCACACAGAGAAAGCACCAGACCTAATGCAAGGCTCCCAGGAAGGAATAGGAGTGTTGGGTATTTCAGTTTAAATTAAAACTTAAAAAAACTTTAAATTAAAACTTTAAAAAACTTTAAATTAAAACTTTAAAAAAATGAAGTAATGAAGTTGCTAAAGCATAAGCAGCTGGAAGTGGCTTCTTGCAATGTGAAGTGTTGGGTATCTCTTAAATGTGAGCAAATCCACTCCAGTAGTTGTTAGAGAAAGGAGAGATGTTGGCAAAGTCAGACCCCAAATGTGTTTATACTGTCAGCACAAGAGATCTGTTTTTTTCTGTCTGAGATAATTCTCCTGGTTCTCTTTCAAATGGTGTGAATATTGGCAGCTCTCACTGCAGCTGAGGGCTCTGTGAGTGCTCAGCTCTCTAAAAAGATGTTGGGTCAGTGTATCTGAAAAGCAGGCTGAGGGATTAAATTCAGGATGTAGTATAACCTGTAATAATGCAGCAGAACAAGAGCTCTGCTTCAGCCTTTTGAACCCAGAGACAATGGATTTGTTTGAAATTTAAATTGAGTCACATTTCACTAGAAAGGGGCATTAGGATGGCAGGAGGCTCCTGGCTCAGAGGCTCTGGAGTCTGCTGGGCAGCCCCAGTGCTGTCTGACAGTCCAAAGTGAGCTCAGCTGGGGGACAGTACTGTAATGGAGGTTCTGGTGCCAGAAGAAAGCCCTCTGAAACCCAGAGCATGAGGAGCAGGGGCAGGATGCACATCCAGGTGTGGCTGCGTGAGCCCTGTGCCCCAGGGTGGGTCCTGAGCCCAAAGGGAGGGGACTGTCATCTGTCATCACACAGGGAGGGTGACATCAGGTGTATAATGATTGCCTCCCTGCCACCCCTGACCTAGTGGCTTCTTTCATTGTTTAGCCACTCTAGAGTCATTTTGACTGAATGGTCTGCCCTGGCAGTGGGACTGGCTGCAATTTTGTGTGGGCATGTCTCTAATTTTTTATTAAAGAAACCTCGGCAAGATGAGTTGCCTTTGCTGTTAGTTTCCTGGCCTTGTCTGTGTGTCTGCTTATCCCTTTAGAGTTTCTCTAGGCTCTTGCCACAGTCATGTGTAATCATTTATGTAACTCTGCTTAGCACCACAGCCCCTGTATCTTCTGTCATGGCATGAGGCAGCTGAAGACATGTTTGATGTTATTCACTTATTTCCTGAGCTCCTTCCTGTTTGCTGCCCCTTGCTCCCCAGTCCTCTCACAAATATTCACATTGTGCTACAGATGGGCTGCAGCCTCCCACAGAGTCCCTGGCCCCCAGCTCTTGCTCCAGACTCCTTCAATTCCACAGCACAGAAGTTTTGGGAAGTGCTTCAGCAGAAACCACATTCCCCATCCACAGCAACATTACAGAAGCTTCACTTGCTACTCACTTCTTCACAACCACAATTATCATTGCACTAATAAAAATGTGCAGATCCTAACAGCGAATATGAAAGCCCACTAAATACAATAAGGTCACATCTCAGAGGTGCTGAGCGCCTGACACGGAGTTCCTTGGGACTCTTGGTCAGCTGGTCACTACCTCCTTGTCCATCCACCAGTTGTGCTCACTCCTTCCTGTCGTTTGCCACCTCCTGCCTGTCCCACCATTATCTCCATGAAATAAATACTATTTGGGTCCCATTTGACATCTCTCTTTCCTCTCCTTCCCAGCAGGTGCTGGCTCTGGCATCCCTTTTCCCCAGCATCTGATGCTGATATTTCAGTAGCAGAGGTCAGGTCAATACTTCAGATAAATAAGTAATAGCTCCAGCTCCTCAGCCCTCTCCACTCTTCCTCCCCTTGGTGCCCTTGAGGATAGAGCTAGACCAGAGCTTATGGCACTGCTCCAACGTGATTGGCAGGCCGTGAGAAAGAGCTTGGAAAACTTTAATAAAGTAATTCCAGGGCACGAATGCCAGTGACTACCCAGGTCACAGCCTAACAGGGGGGACTGCAGTTCTAGGTGGCTTTTTAAATGTGGGCCTACAACAGGAATAGCAAATACAGTGGCCTAACACATATTTTCCCCCTTATTTTCAATGAAAAGCTCAAACTTTATCACTAATGTGTATGTACAGATGAAGTACTCAATGAAAAAAATTATGTAGATGATTTTTTAACACTTCTCTGAAACATATAATAAACTCTGTTCTGTATGGGACCATCCAACTTAACTCTGCTTTGTATAAGGGAATGCAGTTATTCCCTTTTTTTCATTAAATAACATGAATCCCTAATTTTCCCACATTCATTCATGTCAAAATGTATCCTGTACTGTGAGCCCTTAAAAAAATTTAAAGCAGGTTTGCAACAGCCTCACCATGGTGATTCACTGCAGCCTGGCAGCTCTCGGCCAAGTGCATGAAAAAGGGAAGGACTGATGATGCTGTAGGTCTGTACAAGCTCTCAATGGCTCAGTTATCTGGCTGAGGATAACTCAGGATAAATTCACCACTGAGGATGCCTCTGTGGCTCCCTGTAGTGGGGCAGCAGCTCAGGGCAGACCTTGCACAGGAGGCACAAAAGTGCAGCTGGGTTTGTGCCCCTGCCTGTGCTCAGGTGGGAAACTCTGAGAGCCATGGGAGGCAAGGCCTGAGGTGACCCTGATCATAAAACTTGACTTTTCTGCAGAGTCTAGAGGAAAAGGGAGCACAAACATTTCATTTCCACTCTGTTCCAGACCCACACTGTGCCCCCCAGCTTTGCAGGGTCCTGCCCATGTCAGCCCTGCCAGGGAGGGCTCTGCCTCCTGCCCCTTTTCCGTGGAGCTCTGCTCACACTGCTCACACTGCTCACCCCATCTCACCACCAT